AGTACCAGCCGTCTCGAGACCAAAAGAATCAGAGAATACTCAAAGAAAGAGTACCCCAACTCACTGGGGTTGACACAGCCAGTGCAATTATTTTGAATTATACAGCTCTCAGATTCCTGAATATGGGGGGAGGGGGAATTCTGGGGAGCAACCATGACTAAGTGGTGAAATGCCTGCTCACATCCAGAAAGCCCCCCATATCTCCAATTGAAAACATGTGGTAATAGACTATGCAAAAAGACTTCTATCTGAGGTCTGACGAATCAGAGCATCACGCCTGATGTCATGACATCATTTCCAGTTGTTCGCCAAAAATGATGTTGTACAACGGCAATACACTGGCGTACCGGTCCCACCCTCTAAATCCTCTCAGGGGTGCTAGGTAGTGGCCAGGCATGCCTAGCTTCAATCCTTACAAGTGACAAGGAATTAACCCTACTTGCCTATTCTGTTGAGCACCCCATGCTCTTGAGTCTCTGGCAATTTTGAAACACAATATTTTGGGTGTGTGTATACTGCTTCTGCACAGCCAGCAACATTCATCACTGGCTAGTAGAAAGACAGGCTGGGGGAAAATGGGAAGAGTAAATGACAAGACATTACGCCCCAGTTCCTCATCATTCCTTTGGATTTCCTGGTGATATTGCTGGGAACGGTAGTTTTTGTTCATTATTTTCATCATTTTGGCATGACCTTGAGGCACGTGCAATGAACGGTTTTTCTTCTGTCCATTTGTGGAAATCATGTATCTTGCTTGACAAGGGAAGGACTGGCAGAAAGGCAGGCTGGAACTGAAAGCCACAGGATTTCTTTGGTACCATTGAATTTCTTTGGTACTGCTGAATGTGTATAATGAGTATCAAGCAAATGGTCCATCAAGCAAATGCAAGTGATTTCAGAAGAAGCCCAAGGGTGATCACTCATAACCACTCATGAGACACTGTATGAGAAGTCTCCTCTGTACATTTTTTTACATTAATTATAACATCAACAGGCTGCGCTTACACTGGCTGTGGATGGGGACAGTCCTGATGTAACTGTCCATTTGCCATCTGATCCTTCACATTATGCAAAAGATAAAATTAGATCCTTGGTGTGCTCTCAGGAAAATAGCTGGGGGAGTCCTTTTACGAGGTACTTTCTGGCTATGGTGCCAAAGGAGATTCTGTACCTGGCGGAGGTAATTTTCCTTCCCCTAATGACTAATGCTTTTCTGAACTTCTTACCAAGAACCATCAGATGTGCAGAGACCACCGGAAAATAAACAACACACAAAGCCCTGAAGAGTGGTTTAATAATAATACATTAGCTTGATCAAACGACAAAGATAGGCCGGGCTTTCCCGCTTGAAGCTCTGTGAAGTTCGTACTGCCCAGAATTGCCCTGGGGGTTTAGCTTCCCTAACTGGTGGTGCTGTGGCTTGTACCAGATGGAATATACTATTAGAATCTTGGTCAGACCACACCTGGTCTTAGTTGTTTCCCTCAGAGGGACCTCCTTCTAGCTTTTTGTTTAAAAGTTACTAACAGACTTCAGCGCATAGGCATTGGAACATCCCAGAGAGCTCTAACAGTACACTGTGGTGCATGAACCTACAACACACGTGGAGAAAGTGATACCACTGGTGCTGGAATAATTTTCAAAGCAGGAAATTCACAAAGTCAGGTCACATTCAAAGCTAGTTGTAGCCAAGAAAATGAAAACAGGAGAATATTCTGCCATGCAAGTTTGGTTCCTTCTTTTTAAATGATTTACTTAATTCATTTATCATCTACCTTTCTTGTTGAGACTCAAGATGCTGGTGTCATTGCTCTTGCTGATGCTTGACATGTGGAGGACATGTTCCATTCATCCCAACCTGAAGACTCATTCAATTCAGTGCAACCAAAATGATCCTGTCCCTATTCCACATGAATTGTATGAGCCAGGAGATCTTATCATTGGAGGGATTGCCTCTCAGGTCTTCTTCGATCACAACCCTATGGATTTTAGGGAGCAGCCCTCTCAGATGTTGATCAAGGAAGCAATGTGAGGGCCCATATCTTCTTTAGTTAGATGGTTAAGTCATATTCTTAGCTTTGTCTTCAGAACACCGTGTTTCAATTCAGTGCAACTGAAATGATCCTGTCCCTATTCCACATGAATTTTATGAGCCAGGAGAGAAATAATCCACCTCTACTTCACAGGGGTGATGCAAAGATAAATGATAATGTACAATAACACTGTAATGCATGTAAAAACTGTTTCAGAATTATGAAGTGCTAAGTAAATACTAAGCTTTTCATAAAGGTTCCAATTACTTTTCATCCATAGTTCCAGAAATGGCTACAATAGATTTGCAAATATATAATGGCCAGAAATAATAACAGGTAGCATTGTGAGAAGATCAGAGAGTTGCAGAATATTGGTGTTACATATATTTCAGAGGAATGGTCACATTTTTGTCTTACAGAAATCTCTTTGCTAGTAAAAATTCAGGCTACAGGAAACTTCCTCTATGGTGCTAGAGAACCTTTAGATATGTTGTTATCTCATGTATCCCTGCCCCCCCAATCTTCCCATATGTAGGGCTTGAGGAAATTCTGTATTGGTCTGTATCTGGGGAACTGTGCTTGCACATGAAAGCGCATACTTTGAATAAAACATTGTTGGTCTTAAAGCTGCCAGTGTGCTCAAACTTTGTTCATGTATCTCTCATTACAGTGTGGAAACAAAGCACTATCAGCACATCCTTGCTTTGGTCTTTGCTGTGAAGGAAATTAATCACAACCCCAGGATCTTACCTAACATCTCTTTGGGGTT